AATAGATTTCTAATAAGTTGAAATCTTAATATTTATTCCTACTCCTAATATTTCTTCCTTTGTACACACAGAGTACTTAAAACGCTCACATCTTTAAAACACCTTGACAGGAAAGCAGAAAGCGAAAAATCAGTTGTCAATCAAAAATTGCATTAGTAGAAAGTAGTACAAAAAGCTGAAATTGTCGACTATCAGCGCAAGTTCTGATTGGCTGCTTTTCCGCTTTCTGCTTTTCCATCAAAGTGTGTGAATGCGCCTTTAGAAAGATTATCTATTGCGCATAAAGAATTTCGCACAATAAAAGGAATAGGGATCAGAGAATAGAGAATAAGAATTTCAAAAATCTCTCAAAAATCATTGTGGAATACACAGTTTCTGATAGGTTGAAATTCAATTTTTCTGCTCTCTGTTTCTTTTATTGTGCGAAGCTTCTTATGACAGAATTTCCATCACATGATCTTCGACCAATCAGAAATTAAGCTTTTTTGCAGCGTAAACGAGTCATGTGGATCATTTAAATTTCTGCAAATGAACTCAATACTTGATTGGTTGATACATCTCCCTACTACTTTCAACAGTTTCAACTCACTGCGCATCCGCATTCGTCGGAATGTCCACCATGCGTCCATGAAAAAGCATGTTGTCATTCGCGTTGTATTGCCATTATATTATCAAGTATGGCGGCGGCCGTGGCAGTGAAGGATCTTAACACTTTTCTCAGCCAAAAGCAAAATGTTGCCGATAAGGAGCTGGCCGCAGAGTGGGCACAGCTTGAGGAGCTGTACAGTAAACGGTAATACGATAATACAATATTTCATGCAAAAGGATTTCACAGGATAATGAAATGTAATGATAAACCTCGGTGACTTGCAGGCTTTGGCATCAGTTAACATTGAAACTGGAAACGTTTGTGAAACATCCGATACTCCAACAAGAGGATAATCTCGTACAACTTTACGTTAACTTCTTGTCAACCTTTGAAAACAAGTGAGCCCTATCAACTATGGCTCCGTTGTATATACACATAACTCTGTTCTTTTTGGCTGAACTTTTGCCTCAGTTCATTTTTCTTCTTCTTTCCTCGTGGAAAGAAAAGGAAGAAAGATAAACTGGTGTAAAAGTTTAGCCAAAAAGAACAGGCCTATAACGTGCATGAGATATCATTTTATCCTTATTGGTCACAATAACAAAGATAAAATGATACTTCATGTACATTATACATGCAATAGAACGTAGCCTATATTTAGAAAATATCATTAAGATCTTAAATAATATACAATATACATTCTCAGTCTCTATTTATATTAATTTACATATTGCTCTTTGTTAATCTTGTTTTATTAAACAACAATAAAATATTAATAAATGAGTAATAAAAGCATTAATACAGCATGGCAATTGGAGCGCAATTCATATAATATATTGTTAATTTTATATAAAATATCGATACAAATCATTTGTATTTCTTCAAATTGTTTGGTTTCCTTTACATCATCAGCAATATCATAAATAATTTATCATCAACATCTTACAAGATTCATAGTCTACAGTTGTTGGAAACAATTTCTATAATAGACAGAAGATGAGTATCTCCTTACTTTCTGGAGAATTGCCAAAATATCTCTTCGCAATTTAACCAACAGACATTTTGGTATCTATTATAGAAATGATTTTCAATAACTGTAGACTATGAATCTCGTAAAACATTGATAGTAAATTATCTATGGCATTGCTGATGATGGTTTGAAGGAAATCGAAATGTTCAATAAACTTATATCAATACTGAATGTAAAATTATTGATTATATATAAATTGCGCTCCAATTATTAAGCTGTATTAACGCTCTCATCTGCCGATTAATTTTATTAATATTTTATTGTTATTTAAATCTCGAAAGCACTATTAAATAAATTTTTGTTTTTATTTTATTGAGACTGTTTTCGTGTTTTTAAAGAACAAATTCTATTAAGATTATATGTTTTTGAAGAATAAATCCATTGTCGTTGGTGGAGATATTGGCGCATGTAGTTCCACAATTACAAGATAATCAAGATGCGATTAAATTCTTGGAGAAGACTGAGACAAAGGTCCAAAGCAACAATGAAGCTATTGCTCTTTGTAAGGTTCTCAAGGGTCAAATTCTGTTGGATAAACTCAATAATCAAGAACAAACAAAGAAGATCATAGAGGACGTAGAAGCTATGTTGGACAACGCCGATGGCATTACGACGGTTCATGGACGTTTTTATCTTCTTGCCAGTCGGTTATATAGATTACAGGGCAAACACGCGGAATATTATCGTACAGCGTTAAGGTACTTTTACATGTATTGGAGCAATTTTATCTACACATATTGGAAATTGAATTTTGCATCTTAAGTAAGGATTTCGAGCGTGGAAAAAATCACGCATGTATGTAAAGCATAGGTGGAATCAAATCTAGATCCATGGATCGAAAATGGAGCCACTTGCTTCATACCATACTTTTACAAATAATGTATATAAATTTATTATTGTAAAATGATTGTACAAAATCTATAAATTTTGTATAATTGATTAGAACTAATGTGATCTTTTTCATCGAATATTCTTCTTTTTATCAAGGTATCTAGGTTGCATCGAATTGAGCAGCTTGAACAGACAAGAGCAAGAACAACATGCTTTCTTTCTCGGACTTGCGGCGCTTCTGGGTGAAGGCGTCTATAATCTCGGAGAATTATTAGCACATCCAGTCTTGGAATCGTTAAAAGGTACTCCGAACAATTGGCTTGTCGATTTGTTGCAAGCCTTCAATGCCGGTGATATCATTGCATTAGAGAGATTGAAGCCACAATGGAGCAAAGTAGCTGATCTAGCAGCACAAGAATTAAAATTGAGACAAAAGATTTCATTGCTGTGTCTCATGGAAATGACTTTCAAGCGGCAAGCAAACAATCGGTATGTATAATTCAAATATTTCAGTTATGAGCATACAGTATTAGAGCTGTATTCACTTTGGACATCTTTCTTCAACATATGATGAGCGATAAAGATAGAATGAAGAAGCGTGTAAACGCTCAAAGTGAATACAGCTTGGGTTTCAAATTTTCAAAAATTAAATTATTAATAATATAAATATATATATATATGTTTCTCATGTAGACAGCTGACGTTCACGGAGATCTCTCAAGAGACACGTCTACCTCTTGGTGAAGTAGAATTGCTAGTTATGAAAGCTCTTGCCCAGGGTCTCGTGCGAGGTGCCATAGATCAAGTGGCGGGCACTGTTAATATGACTTGGGTGCAACCACGTGTCCTAGATCGCAGCCAGATCGCCGGGATGGTGCAACGTCTGGATGGATGGTGCAAAGATGTTAGTTCGATGGAGAAACTCTTGGAATCAAGAGCCTCTGAAATCCTCACTCTCTGAGAATACAGACCTTTCGGTTTACTTGTTTGTTATGTCAGCAGAATGTTGGTTCGCATACTCGCAATTATAAAATCAGTTTCTTAACACGTCGCCAATAAATACGAACAATTATTTATTACATGTGCACTTAGAATTCTTTGTATATCTTTTCTCTTCTTTCGATTAAAAACGAAAAACAGGTTGGTATCAATTGTAATTTTTTTATATTAAGTTATAAGAAAATACAAAATAAAAACAAGAAGTAAATGTTTTATTTGAAAATTGGTGAAAATACATCGTTCTAATTGTCAGTGCGTTTTATATTGGTAAATATTGGTAATGAATGCTAAATGCTGTCCTCTTTTATATAATATTAAGTATCTGTACTTAAGTACAGTTTATGAGTTATACAATTTTAAGTAAAAATAGCATATAGCAAATATATTATTAATCCTATTTACAATTATCTTATACGTATTACATGTAACAAATAAACAATCAAGCAATGAATTGGATTCGATACGAATTGGCAACAATTTGGGATAGTCTTATAATAAATATATAAAAGCTAAAAAGTGATTAAATGTATGTCTTATGAATTTTTTCACAATTTGAGCACATGATTCTATACACTTAGAAGCTTTTTCAGATTTTTTTCAACTTCCCTTATTAAAAAGGAACAAATTGTTTTTAAAAATTACTAATGTCTCGTCATTTATCTTTTGAATTAAAAAAATTAAGTACATTTTAGTACTTTTTTTGGTTTTAACTATTAATCGTTAACACAGTAAAAGTACTGAACGAAGATCCATACATTTAAGTATACACTTATTCTATATCACATGATTGACTTTCCATTTACTCTCAATCTGCTCTCCTTGCTCACATTGTATATTGTATACAAACAATGCACTTATTGCATTGGTTAGCGAGGAGCAGCGGACTACATTATTTCGTGATGTATGAAATAATGGTTTTACTTGTAAGAGTTATTCGCTACTTATCAGAATTAATGCCATCAGTTAGAATCGATGGATTAAACGAAACGAGCTACTTATGTAGCGAAATGTTATATAAATTTGCGAGTGCATCATCCTCCCTTATTCAATCTTGCTCTTTCAATCTATATCTGTAGATTTTCTCTTTAAGGTGTTATCCGAGCCTGGTAATCCAGAAATAAGAAACTTCTCTTTCAGATACATGTAATTCTTCAATCTGCAGACAGCATAATCCTGAAACATGTAACAATGTTCATATATTTAAACAGATCCAATTGGACATAGTCGAAAAGCAAGGATGAATCAAAATACATACCCAATAGCCAAATGGAATCTGTGACAGTTTCGCGTTTACGATGCTCCAGAGACCCCAGAATAAATGACTAGCTAGTGAGAATATCCTTATTTCCATCATAAAACGCTCTTCCTCCAGAGATCCTTCTTTGCTCAATGTTCTTAGGTAGGCTCGTATGAAGTTGAGCTGTCGAGAGAAAAAAACACTTTGTAAAAATTGTACAAAGAAAAGGTAGAGGGTTGCCCTATACTCATGTACTTTAATTTATTTAATAATTATATACGATATGTATATAATCTTTTAATAGATTTAATAGATTTAAATAATCTTTTAATAAAATTCATTCGTATATTAAAAATACTCATTGAGATATATGAAACTATAGAGATATAGTAACTAGTTTGTTGCCAAAAAACTTTTACAACACATTGGAACATTGTACAATAATAATATGAACAAATTAGACATACACAGAGCTCGAATTACTAATAAATAAGTTATAAATATCAGGCATTTGAAAAACATAAAAGAAATAATTTAGGATGCATTATATGACAATGTAAAATATAAAAACGATGTTTTGTCGATTATCAATATAAAAAAAAAACGATTGATATGAATTATTCACGCCTATTTGTTACTGTCAGAAGATAAGTATCTCCTATTTATTTAAAGATTCCCGTTCAATATTACACGACAAATTATCATCAGTAGCCTGAATTGAAAAACCGTTTGCAAACTTAGGTATGAATTCATATTAATTACGCATACAGAATCGTGTTAATTGCTTGGAAGATAATGCACTTTTAATAGCACAGCTATCCCGAAAAGATACGTTCGAAAGGGTACGCAGGCTATGAATTGACTAGTGAGGAGAGTGTACAGGTACTCTAGAATCGTAGATGAGCGGATTGGTGCTGCCAAGATGGTAGTACCGGTAGCACCCTGGTTCCCAAAATGTAGAGCACCACAAAGTCGGGATCCATCACAGCACAGTTTCACATTGCCGGTCGAATTTTTCTCTGTTTGCAGGCATCAGCCTTGTCTTGACGGATTGCGGTCCTGTGAAACTAATATATACACACGCAGCACACGCCAAGCCGACACCCTATCTACTGTGTCCTGGTACAGTACCGAATAGTATAATAACTGAAAAGTTGTCTTATCGCGTCACACAATATCGTAAAATTTCGACTAACAATTTATTACATTACATTTTTACGATGATTTACATAAAATGTACGCATTATTTTTAAATTTGTATCTCTGAATCAGATGTGAACGTCAAATAAATATCAATCAAATTGTAATCATGAAAAACAAAACATAAAAAAAAATAATTTCTTACCTATTTATAAGTATAAAATTGTCGATATGAATTTCTATGAGAAGTTTTCCGTTGTTTACTACAATTTTTTTTATCGATTTCATGCCTAAGGTACATATTTATCTTTTATTTATGAATATATTATCAATGATTTAATCCGCTTACGAAAAAATTCATGATATGATAACACTGGATGAAACATATTGAACAGATATCTTACCCGGTTTACTTCATCGCCCAAGCCTTTTCTTAATTCATGCTTACCTTTTGCTCCTTCGTGGGACCAGCGGCCGGACGTTCGTGAAAGAAAGGATATTCTGATGTTGTATAGTCGTATTGCCATTCGGCGAAATGATTGGCGATATCAAATCCTCGATAGTTGTAGGAACAATATTCGAAGTCAATGAGTACTAACTTGGGCTTTCGTGTATTGTGGAGTAAGAGTATATTTCCCTCTTGCATGTCATTATGACAGAATGTAACTGGATATTTTTGCTGCGTTATAATTGTTCTGAAAATAAGAAATTATTATTTCAGTTTCAATTTATGATTATGTTTCATATTCGATCCAATTTACATCCTATATAAATAAAAAATATATTTGATATTTATATATTTATTAAGTACTTATCCTACCCTCGACCTCTGTTTCTTTACTTATTTGATTTATTTATAAAGTGATCTAATAAAATTTATTGTTGAAAATTAAAAAATCTAAGTTATGTCATTGTCTTTTTTATAAACTCCACATTATATCTTCTACTTACTTAAGCCAATTGATTTCGTGCTCAAAATTTATACATTTTATTGTGCTAATATTATCCAGTTGCCGACTATCAATGTCTTCGTTAACAATGTTTTCAAGAATGTCTGTCGTAGTGTTGAACCAATTATTTATTGTGTCCCATAACCATGTGGGCTCTTTGCTAATTGGTATTTGCATCATATGTGTCTGACCCATCTTTTCTGCGATCAGTAGACTCAAGGTTGAATCCGCCAATTCCTTCGTGATCAAAGGTCGAGCTGGGATGTATTCCTCTATACGGCCACCAGGGAACACTCCGTGCAGCTTAGGACCCAGTCTCCTTTCAGATAACAAGGTGAAGATAACAGATTCTGTGATTAGTCCTTCTAAGGCTCTTTCTCCATGAACCTGCCCATAAAGACGTAGCAAAACTTGACGAGGTTCTCCTCTAATCGGAACCGTTCCTTCAGGAAGCTGGACGTTGTACAGCCAATTACTTAGGCCACCACTGAAAATAATTACATGTCTTTTATCACCCAACTCTTATATTATCATAAAATACGTAACATTATAACTGTTGTTTTATCATAAAATATGTAATTAAGACTACATTTGGGAAACACGCTATCAGCACTATTGCGTCGTTTCTGTCCTTGCTGCATGTCTAATGAATAATAAAGATAAAATGACATATTAGTTGATAGTGCGCTTCCAGAAAACAATCTAAATGCCTTTTCAAGCAAAACAATGAGTCACCATAATGTCAAAATGAATTGTTATTCATTAAAAAATTAAAACTCTTAATAATCATTTTGGAGCCATTCTGACATTATTTTGATGACTTATGTTTTACTTAGGCTTATCATCATGTCACATATATGTCTCTATGCAAAAATATTAGGATAATATGATATTATATATATATATATATATATATGTTA